ATACGGGGGGCTGGCGGTACAGCGCCAGTCAACTGACGCCGGTTGACTGACGTTTGGACGGTGGTCTGGTAGGGAGTTGGCAGCACAGTGCTGGCCTGTTGACGCGATGGGCGACGTGAGTCTCTCCCGATGTGACCGCCAGTTGCATCAGGACACACTCGAGACATGCTCTTGGGCGTGTGCCTCCATATCGTAGTGGTTGAAACGGTTTAGGTCCCACCCTAGGGCCACTACTTTTGTCCGGTAGCAAATCCGACCCCTAGGGAACAGGCGAGGCTAAAATCTCGCCCTAGGGGCCGGGCGAGACGGAATCCGACCCTCGAGGGTCGGACGAGGCGGAAACCTCGTCCTTGGAGTCAAACGAGGCGTGGCTCGGCCCCTAGGGGTCGGACGAGGCCGTAGTTGCGTCTTTAATCATCGGATGAGCCAACGTGACGCTCATTAATCCTTTAGCTCGGATACCTGGATATAAATATCCGACAATATGACGAACTCATCAATAATTGGGTGTCTATCAGGCGAAATAGCTCATGCCACAAGGTGCTTGTGAATATCCTATCCTGATCTAAAACAATGCTCTATGGTAGACTATTGACGGTCGTTAACATCAATCATAAACCATCAACATAACTTGTATAGATGCATAAAAAGGATCACCAACATAGGTTTAGGGGTTTAAACTAATAAATTCCATAAGTTTGCAGGAGGATTTACTCAAAAAACCATCAAGGAGGGCCTATTCGTCAAAGCAAATCACGTTTATCCACAGCGAAACCGATGTGGGAAGACTCTAGAAGACAAACCACCGAAGTGGAGGGCAGGTGGCTGCCATGTGGGGCTGGCCGGCCCCACCTACAGGCCACCCGGCCCCTTGGGCCCACCTGTCAGCCCCTCCTTCGAATGTCGGTTCTTCCCCGCCTCCTAGATTGCATCTATGCCGTTCTTTCAAGTCGGTTTGATCCGAGGGTCCAGAATTGATGCTCCAGCCTATATATAGCAGCCCCTACCCCCCCTCCCTAGATCATCCCTAAAACCCTAATTCATACCTCTCATTCAGAGATCAAGATACACCAGGAGAATTAGGTCTAGACTCTCCAATGTAGTAGATTAGTAGCTCAGAAGTGAGGGTCGAGTTGGGCTCATGCTCAAGTTCCGGATCTAGTCTTGGACGCTCGGCAAAGCCTTGTATCTTCACTTCCACATCTTGTAAGACTTATTATAAATTCATCATATTCATATCTAGATGCTATGCTTACTTTTAATATGTATCTTGCTTAGTTGAGGTTATCATTACTTTTGTGTGCGGGTTCATAGAGCGCTTAGCCTGCTAGTTTATCAATTGGGCTAAGTAGCTGAGCCTCATGTAAGCATGGTGCTTATACGATGCTCAGTCTGTGAGTACACCCTATTCACTGGTTGGGTGGTAGCAGCGGGAGGTGTAAGCCCCGTCTATCCTTTGTAGTCCACTCCGAATTGAGCAAGTTCTTAAATTCTAGGATCGTAGTCGCGCCAGTAGAGTTATCTATTGTGGGTACTCTACTGTCTAAGCTGCGTCCCGAAGTGCACAAGAGTAGAGTTAGTCTTAACCATAGTTGGATGTATATATACTTTGACCATGTAATAGGAATGTCACAGGAATCTACCTCACTCGTTGCTCTTCTGAGTTGACTAGTTTATGTTATCTTATAGATCTACCCCTGAGTATCATCAACCTTAATTCCTATCATTACCTTCACCCCTGCTCTAGCCATGATGGTATGTTGACTGATAGATACTCCTTTGATATTCAATAAGTCTACTCCATTGTTTCCCTGTGGTAAAATATAAATAACGATACCTGGAATACTCCTGGTAAAATGCTACAATGGTATTATGTGCGCTTACGAAATTCTTCATATTCTATTTGCACTTATAAATACCAACAAGTATTTTTTACGTCGTTGCCGAGGAAACAATTGACGTAAAGATTTAGATCATTAACATACCGCTAGCTTTAGTAGGATTACCCATGTTCTATTATATTGCGGAATAGACAGGACAACAGATGCTGTTTTGACCGTCCGGCAAGCTTCCACAAGAAAAGAAGAAACATTGAAGAACCCCAGGGTGCCTGAAAATTCAAGATCCATCAACATTGGAACCCTGTTGTCTCACATGTTTGTATACACATATATATTATTCTCTAACCATGTGTAGATTGGATAAAAAGGTCAACGTCACAAGAATACAAATCACATCTCAAGTGATGAATACAGACGCTGCACTATTCACAAATTCTAACATGTGAGTCATGGTAAGTATGATCAAGAAAGGTGAGATAGTCTTGCTTATGGACTTTAAACTTGATGAGTAGTTATCTTTTAATTTTTGTATTCCATTGCATGTTTATTTTCAATGATTCATGCATCCACTCCGTTTAGTTTAAATTCTCTTATATCAAATTCACAGCATATTTAGTTCCTTGCATACATTTATACCACTTGCATCTTTTATTAAAAAAAATCTCACCATGATCATGCTCTTTCATCTCCATTTAAATAAATCTCTTTTATTCTTTCATGCTACTTTTATTTGCTATAATATGCTTAGGTTTGGAGTATCTTCATACACTTTTTAAAGTAAGCGTGGTGCTTAGTTTAAACTATTTTCTTAAATCAAATTAGACGTGGTATTTAGTTTTATTTTTAAACCAAGAGGTGTGTTGATCTTACTTCCAAAGGCTTTTTAAATTAAGCATGGTGCTTAGGTTAAAATGCTTTCCTAAATTAAAATAGACATGGTGTTTAGTTTAATTTTTGAGCCGATAGTATGGTTTAGTAGATACTGGTTATTTTGTTGGACTAACCCCTACAGAAAACTCTCAAATTCAATCTGGGTAAGTCCTGAGATAAATTCACATCGGAGATGAATCAAGGCATGCGATGAATTCCAATAACTTTGCGCAAAGAAGACCTAGCTCATTTTTCATGGAAGGAAGAACTGTGAGTATCAAGGTTTATTCACTTATCTTTTGTTACAAGTTATCTTTGCCTTGAACCATACTAGAATGCAGCAAACACATAAAACATGATAAACAAAATCTATGCTAAACAATTATAAAATCATCCTTCCATTAACATATAGGAAAATCACAAAAAATGATCTTGTGACGTCTGTATATATGTGATTTGTACCTATCAAATTTGAAACAAAAGATATGGAAATAACGGGTTAATAGAGTAAACACATGTTGTCTTGATTTCGTTATTTCCCTCGGGTACGTGTCTATTAACATTCTGTAGGAAAGAATGAATAGAAGCTATGCCTATTCAAGGTTTGGTGTGAATCCACAAACCCTAAACCAAACCACCACTACAGCTATGGAAGTGAACGAACAGATCGACAGGCTATGAGCAACATGAAAGACAATCTAGCTTTGAGCCTTCCCAAGACTCAAGCTAGGATGTTGATGAGAAGCAGGATGAAACCCACCTTGTATTAACCAGAATATGCCTGCCTTCATCATCTTCAAAAGGACCAGCTCGCACGTTGGCAACAAGGACCAAGATAACGAGATGCCACTACATCATGGCGTGCATCATTCTGTCAACAAGCATCATCAATCAATGGTTCATTGACGACTGTCTCATAAGGCCGTAGTCGCCCAAAGACATCCCCTAGTCATTGAAGATGAAGCTTCCATGCGAGTACCAATGAGGATCTTTCTTTGATCATCAAGACTGCTGGCATATCACTAACAAACAAAGAAGAACAACTCTCCGCCACGCCGTTAGACGATCAAGGAGGAACTTGAGTTTGCATCTCCAATGAACCCCAACTCGTCAACCAAGGATCAACAAAAATCAAGAAAGGTGGATGGAAGAAGAGCATGCAATTTGATGGTGCAATAAAAAAGCTAAAGGCAAGAAGAGGTCCGGGTCAATGGACCTAAAGCCATGAAGCCCTCACTGATAGGTACATCGGACAAGTTTCCTTCAGGTATATTTGTCACTAATCATTTCAACAAAAAGAAGGAAAACATGAGGTATATTCAAGCAAGCATTATGCAACATAGAATCACATTCATAGGAGAATTCTATCATCCAAGCTAGATTTTGCATTCTGCAAAATTCAAGTCTAGGAGATGGAGTTCTTTAAAAACATCTCATGCTATATTGCTAATTTATCTTGGTCATCTTGACCTTCATGATGTGCTCGACTTGATAAATCACTAACAAATAAAAATCTAAATAATCATGCTCTCTTGGTTCATCATACATATTGTTGTTTTTACTTGAATGAATATTTTTAGTCTTTTAAACTTCCTCATTCTGTTACAAGTATACTTCGGAATATTATTCAGACATGATTATTGAATCAAAACATACTTGTATAGAATTTGGTTGTATATATGGACTAACCTTTGTAGGAAAATATTCAAATTTTGTTAGGAATATTAGAAGATCATTCGTAGAAACAGATCAAGGTTTGAGGTATTTTTCAAAACGATTTTACACATCTTTGCCTTAACCTTGTTGAAAATATGAAGTAGTGGTGAACAATCAAGGTACACTATTTAAAATATGGGATAAAGATTCTATACAAATTAAAATATTAAAACCAACTTTTCTGTAGCATAGAAGGTGACCTTTGGCTCTATGACAACACTATCCTTGTTTTGAATTATTTGTATATTCTTTCGGGTATGTGTTGTCCACTAATTCTTTGCAGAGAAGAAACAATGAGTAGAGCAGAAGGTCTAACACAATGCCAAGATCCACAATAGAAAGGACAAAAAGATGGCATGACAAAAGAATAAGAAAGAAGGAGTGCGACATAGGAGACAAGATGCTCATGAACGGCTCATGGAAGGAAACCTTCAAGCAGGAAGAGAAGACCACCACAAGTCATCTACCCTTCATCACAAGGTGTCATCATACTCCAATAATGAAGGTAACATCTTAAGATAAGTGGCCAAAGTGCATGAGTGTCCCCCAGCGCGCTACTGTGCATCGCCTGCATCACATGACGTTGAGCCAGCTGATTTGATCCCAACCAAATACGCCCTCTGAGCTGAATGATCCCATCAACCAATGAGTACCCTTTTGCGTTTTCAGGATTGATAACAAGTTCAGACAGGAGTTGTTGCGCTTGAGGGTCATCAGTATAACCATCCTGAATACGCTGCATCCACATAGGATTGCAGGTCGATACAGCCAGCACAGTATCATCTGAATAGCAGCGTGAAAGAGCATCAGCAGCTCTGTTAGTAACTCCTTGCTTGTAGATAATCTTGAAGTCCAAATCCATGAGCTTCATCAATGCTTTGTGCTGAAGCTTTGAACTGACCCGTTGCTGTGTAAGGTGCAGTAAACTCTGATGATCAGTGCGGATAAAAAATTGCTAGTTCTGGAGATACGGGCGCCACTTCTCAACTGCCATAATGATCGCCATGCACTCCTTTTCGTATGTTGACAGCGCCTAGTTCTTCAGACAAACTGGCTTACTGAGAGACGCCACGGGGTGATCCTCCTGCATCCAGACAGCCCCAAATCCAATATCACTAGCATCAGTCTCGATCACAAATTGTTTGGAGAAATCCGGTATGGCCAGCACGGGAGCACTGATCAGAGCTTGCTTAAGATGCTGAAATGCAGCCTCTGTCATCGCATTCCAAACAAAGGGAGTCGACTTCTTTAACAAATCTGTCAGTGGTCGACTGATGAGACCATAACTCCTGATGAACTTACGGTAATAGCCTGTAAGACCGAGAAACCCACGCAGCTGCTTAAGATTTGTTGGAGTGGGCCATCGCTGGACCGCCACAATCTTGCTAGGCTCTACGGACACACCCCGGCCAGAGATAACATGTCCCAGGTACTCCACTTCCTGCTGCGCGAAGGAGCATTTCGACAGCTTGATGAAGAATTGCTGAGAGCGAATGATGTCAAAGACCTCCTTGAGAATCCGCAGATGATCTTCCAGAGTTGCTGAGTAAATTAGAATATCGTCCATGAAAACGAGGACACCTCGGCGAAGCAAATGCTTGAAGATGAGATTCATCACACTCTGGAACGTTGCTGGCGCATTAGTTAAGCCGAACAGCATTACCAAGAACTCGTAGAGCCCGTCGTGAGTCTTGAACGTTGTCTTATGAGTGTCATCTGGGTCAATACGAATCTGGTGATAGCCCGCCTGAAAGTCCAACTTAGTAAACCATTGCGCACCGGCCAGCTCGTCAATCAGTTCATCCACAATCGGCATCGGGTGTTTATTCTTTACTGTGAGTGCGTTCAAGTGCCGGTAGTCGACACAGAACCTCCAGGTACTGTCCTTACGCACCAACAGCACCGGCGAGGCATAGAGACTAGAGTTTGGTGCAATGATACCATCCGCCATCATCTGAGCAAGCTGCTTCTCAATTTCATCCTTCTGCGCTGGTGAGTATCGATATGGACGAACACTGACAGGAGGAGCTCCAGGTAAAAATTCTATGTGATGATCATATGGCCTTCTTGGAGGTAACTCATGAGGCTCTCTGAATATATCTGAATATTGGTCAAGCAGCAGCTGAACGCCATCCGACAACTGTTCCTTATCCGGCACGGATACAGAGTGTAAAACACCCTCAACTCCAGGGTTCTCTGCTGGTACCGGCTTGAACTGAATACAATGCACAATGGCACCACGCTTCAACAGTCCTTGCAGCTGTATTGAGCAGATAGGTGCATAGGAATTCACTGATGGTTGCACTCCCGTCAGAGTAATCCGATTACCTTTGTGAGTGAATCGAATAACCTTCTTCACCCAATCCACCCACATTGGGCTACACTCCTCTAACCAATCCTCGTCCAAGACCATGTCAAAACACTTCAAAGGTAGAACCCCAGCATTAGATGTGAATGAGTAGCCCTTTGTTGACCACTGTAAGTGAGGTACCCTGAATGAGCAAATCATTGGGGAGCCATCGGCCGCGACAAACTTGGTGGGTACAGCTTCCACTGTCGTCAACTTCAACTGATCAACGATCCGATCACTGATAAAAGTGCCGACACTACCCGAATCAACCAGTATAAGGACCTCATGATTATCGATCAATCCACAAAGCTTCATGGTACGACGTCTCTTGGGACTGACAGCTGCTTCAGAAGATAGAACCGAGATGACTTCTTCCAGCTCATCAGCATCTGGAACGGCTTCAGCTGACTCTTCTGAAGACAAGGCATCCAATATCTCCTCGATCACATGTAAGGACACCTTGGCAGGACAAGTGTGATGCTGGTTCCACTTCTCGCCGCATTTGAAGCATAGATTGTTCTTGCGACGATAATCTCTCAGAGATGACAGCTTATCTTCTTGATCAAGCCGTGCAGGAGTATGTTTAGGCTTATCAGTGTCTGGCTGCTTAGGACGCTCAGTAAACTGACGCCAAGAAGGTTTGGAACGCTGCTTCTTGCCCAACTCGTCTTCTTGCAGCATAGCCAATGCGCTAGCTGCAGCCACATCTGATGGCCTATGCAGGGCGATAGCTGAACGAATGTCCTCTTTGAGACCTCCAACAAACTGTGTCACAAAGTACGTATCATCATAGGCCGGGTTGTAGAGCAGAATCCCGTGGGCAAGGCGATTGAACTCTGCTGCATATTCAGAGACTGTACCAGACTGCTGCAACCCACTGAATTGCTTGAGAAGAAGCGGGTACTGATCACGGTCGAATTGGTCCATCACCGCCTAACAGAGCTGATCCCAATCAGAAATCCGACCCCGGCGCTCCATCGTTTGCAACCATAAGGCCACCGCACCCTGAAAGTTGAGGGCGGCGAACCTCGTCTTCAGAGTTGGATGTACGCCATACACCTCAAAATACATCAAACATTGATCCCGCCATAGGCGAGGATTAGTTCCACCGATTTTTGGAAACTCAAGTTTCGGGAAGGCGGACGATGAGGACCCAAATCGACATCAGAACTAATGAACTCAGCGCCAGAAGGCATACCCGTGACCGGGCGTGGCGGGGTCCGAGGATCCCACCGCCGAGCACCCGGTGATCCTGAGGCTGGTGGTGCCCGCTGGGCAGTTCGCCGCCCGCCGCGGATGTACGTGGGGACGGCTGCGGAGCCGTGTTCAAGTCGAACGCCGTCGTATGCGGATGAGGTAGAGGTGGTACGAACTGTTAGATTGACCTCCTAACCATTAGGCCAACGGTTTATCGGACCTTGGTCACGCGTCCTGATCGGGGACGCCCAACCCTATATGGTTGGTGGGCTCCCATCGCACTGCGCTATATAAAGAGGTGAGGAGCCGGCGGCTCAAGGTACGAGGTTCGCCGTGAGCCGCAAACCCCACCGACAAACCCTAGACCGATCTAAGAGGAGGGCTGACCAATGACACGGAAGCTCCCGATCTTCACCCGTCATCATCAACACGCCCGCTGCCTCTGCTACTACATCGTGATCGACGTCCGTGCAACCTCTACTCCGGCCGTCATTGCTGCCTGTGTCTTTGCCTCCATCAACGAACCGGTGATGCCCAGCTCAACCGCGACTTCCTCAAGAAGGCTCGGGTTCAACACCAAACACCTCTACCCTATCTCCTCTCGATTGTAGTGTTCTAGGTCTAGATGTGAATGTGCTTTAAGGATCCAAGTGTTCACCGACCTAGATCTACCCTAGTCGATCTCTGTAATGTTAACAATGGTACCGAGCCACGGTTTAGGTATAGATATGGCTAGGGTTTTGATCTAGAAAGTAGAAAGGGCTTCGGTAGACAAAGGGTTCGGTTGAACCCTAAACTCGATCGTTTGGATTTGAGAAAACATGATGGTTCGGGAAAAGTGAAGAATCGAACATCCAAACCCTAGATCGGGTTTTGGGATAGAGATGAAAACTGAAACCGAATTAAACCCGAAGGTGATTCAGGAAAAAAAGAATAACGATGTGTCGCCCCTAACCCTAACCCTAACCCTAATCGGGAAATCGTGCAAAATCCGAACAAACGAATCAAAGAAACCGAAAGAAGGGGAAGAGGGTGGCTCGGCTCACCTCATGCGTCGAACACGCCACCACGCTGGGGAAAAGAAAGGGGTGTGGGGTGAAGCGCTCGTCACGAACAGGCATGAGGGCGGCCAGCTGCTGACTTCGACGGGCGCGCCACTGGGGAGAGCCAGACGCCGGGCCGGCGAAGGCGGCCGAGACGGCGCCGGGCTCACCGCTCGCTCGCTCTCGCCGTCAAGCTTCTCGCTCGGTGGCTGCTGGCGGGACCGAGTGGAGAGAGAGAGAGTGAGGCGAAGAGAGAGAGAGAGAGAAGGCGAAAAAATGGTCTAGGGTTTTTCGGGCGCGGCCGGCCGGGCTTTTTGATGCCCAGTCAGGCGCTCCACCGCTCGATCTGGATCAACGGCCAGGGCGCTCGGGCCAAAATTGGCCCAGCGGGATAGGGTATGAGGTCGAATTTCAGCCCAGCCCAAAGTTGCACTGGGCGCGAAAGTCTTATTGGCTTGTGCAGTGGGCCGGGCCACGGGCATTGGGCATGTCATGCTATTTGCTATGGGCTGAAATTGCCGAACAAGTGAAATTGAATTCTTTTTTATTTTTCGAAACTGTTCATTCATATTTGATGAATTGAACTGAATTATGATGTTGAAATCTATACAATTTTGATCTAACGTCAATTTTGTTGAGAGAATAGTAAAGTGCGATATAGATTTACGGAAAATAGAATTAAAAGATTTATTAAAGTTTCATTGCATATTTAAAGATGTAACTTTCATTATTAAATTGAACCAACGGGAGAATTTAATTTTGAAAATGAATATGTTTTAAATTGATTATAATATTGTTGTTATTCGACCAACGTTGATTAATGGCAATATTATAATGTTTTGTCATACATTAATTCTATTTACGCTTAGCGGTGATGTAGAATTAGTGTAGAAAATAATTGTATGTTTTAATTTTGACCAACGTTAAACTAAGACATGCAATTATTGTTGTTATTTCTGTTCTCACACTATTTGAATTATAGCCAGGAGGATACAACTTGATGAGTTGTATCAAAGAGATCCCCACTCTAAAAGGTGATAACTATATTGAGTGGAAGAAAAAGATAGACTGGCTTTTATCCTCATTTGAGGTGGATCTGGTTGTCACCACACCGTGTCCCAAAGAACACTGTGGCACCGGTGAGGAGAGACAGATGAGGCCCGATCTTTGCATGGCAAAGCAGAGAGCGGGATTTTGCTCCGTAAAGATGTCCTATGACCTTGAGTATAGGAAATGGGTCACCGCCAACAAGAAGTGTTTGGCGGTGATAAAAAACACGATTGAGCTCGCTATTGTGGGCTCAATTAGAATCTGTGACACGGTCACAGAGTACCTAGAAAGAATAAAGAGTCAGTTCACTTTGGCTCTTCAAAGAGACATATGCAACCCGGTGATCAAGCATACCGTTACTGAAAAAAGGTACTGGTGGTGGCGGTGGCATTAGAGAGCACATCTTGAGAATGAGCAATCGGCATCTAAGCTCAAACCAATGGATTTGGCACTCAAGGATGAGTTTCTTATTCATTTGATTTTTGCTTCTTTGCCCAAAGAATTTGACACCTTTGTTGTTAATTACAACATACTGACTGAAAATGGGATTTAGAAAAGCTCATAGCCATGTGTGTGCAGGAGGAGGAAAGAATAAAAGTTTCACAAGGTGGTTTCATCAACTACCTAAAAGATAAGAAAAAAAACTATTATAATGACTCTTCCTCCAAGTCATCCGGAAAAGGTCCCATGCAATGATCTCAGAACCAAAGAATTCCTAGTGGCTAAAGACCAGTGTCTCCATTGCAAGAAGGCGGGACATTATAAAAAGAATGCCCCGATTTCCTAAAGATGATAATGAAGAATAAAGGTGAGAACATTATTACATTCGTAAATGAATCCTTGTATGTAAAGTTTTCAAAATCTACTTGGTGGATTGATTCAGGTGCAACTATTCATGTTGCTAATTCATTCTGAGGATTCCGTTCGATGAGAACTTTGCAAAGAAGCGAAAGTTTCATTAAAGTCGCAAATGGAGTACAAGCAGATGTTGAGGCCGTTGGAGATCTTCCTCTAGAGCTTCCAGATGGCTTTATACTTTTTCTTAGAGATGTTCTTTATGTACCTTCTTTGCAAAGAAACCGATTAGTGTATCAAAGTTGGACCATGATGGTTATGATTGCCATTTTGGAAATGGCAAATGTCGAGATATTGTTTAATAATAATGTGTTGGTCTTGCCTTCCGACAAGACAAGCTTTATTTGTTATCACTTCGTGAAAATGTGAATTCCAGTATGTGATGTGAATGAAAATGTATCCTCATCGAACAATGGAAAGCAGAGAAAGAAAAAGAGAGCTCACGATGCGTTGTCGAAATTATGGCAATTGTCGTTTAGGCCATATTTCGAGGGGAGAATAGAAAGACTAGTTAAGAATAATATTCTTCCTTCATTAGAGCTCTCAGAGTTAGAACAATGTAGAGATTGCATAAAAGGAAAGTATGTAAAGAAAATTAAGAAAGATGCCAAACGAAGCGCAGGAATTCTACAGATTATTCACACAGACATATGTGGTCCTTTTCCTGTGAAAAGTGTGGATGGTTATGATTCATTCATAACATTCACAGACGATTATTCTCGTTTTGGCTATATTTATCCAATTAAAGAAAAAACAGAAGCGTTGGATAAATTCAAAATATTTAAAGCAGAAGTTGAAAATCAGCATGATTTAAAGATGAAGATAGTCAGGTCTGACCGTGGAGGAGAGTACTACGGTCGGCATACCCCATATGGACAAGTTCCTGGACCTTTTGTAAGGTTCTTACAGGAGAATGGTATAGTCGCCCAATATTCAATACCGGGCGAACCTCAGCAGAATGGAGTAGCTGAAAGGCGTAACCGTACCCTGATGGATATGGTGCGTAGTATGATAAGTTACTCCACTTTACCGATGAGTTTATGGATGGAGGCGTTAAAAACCGCCATTCATATTCTCAATAGAGTACCAAGTAAGTCGGTGCCCAAAACACCGTATGAGATGTGGACAGGAAGAGTACCCTCACTTAACCACTTGCGTGTGTGGGGGAGCCTCTTTGAGGCTAAAATTTTAACCCAAACATTGGGAAGCTAGATCCCAAAAGCGGTGAGTTGCCATTTCATTGGCTACCCAGAAAAAAGTCAAAAGGTTTTCGTTTCTCCGTCCCCTAACATACATACAAAGTTTGTGGAAACGAGACACATTTGTCTTCCTAGAGGATGAAATGATTAGGGGAGCATGGTAGCTCGAGAAATTGACCTTGAAGAGAAGCGGTGTATGCACCCACTCCGATCATTCATGAGCCATTTTTCTCACTACTGCTTTGCTTGTCTTTGCACCATGAAGACAAGACATCTGTGGTGCCAAGACTGTTGTTATCCTTTACTGTGGCAACAATGAATGATGATGAGGAACACGTGCCCTCAGGATCCTATAGAATCTATTGCCACACATGAGGGGGAGCAACAACACCTCAAACAGAAAATATGCCAATTGAGGAGGCCCTAGAAGGTCTCAAAGAGTTAGAAAATCAGCTATTCCTGCTGATTATGAAGTGTACAACACTGAAGAATTTCAAATGGAGGATGATCCCACCTCATTTGAAGAAGCCATGAAAAGTGATCATTCATCAAAGTGGCTTGAGGCCATGGAAGATGAGATGAG